AACCACCCTCCAACATAACACAGACATAGACATAGAAAGCACAGACACAACCACACCCCCACCTCCACCTACACGCCGCCGCCAACAGCTCGTAGTTCCTCACAAAATCTGCTCGGTGCGTCAGTCCAGGATATACCGTAACGTGACATCAGTCAAGTGCAATTCCTGGCTTGGCTGGTGCCACTTTAGGGCATGTTACGCACGTCGTGAGCAAATTTGTGGGCCCTTGGGTACTCACAACAGCAGCACACACAATAAATGGTCGACAGGCAACTCCACAAATCACACCCTGTATTACGACCAGTCTGCCAAGGCACACAAAGACACTACAGTTCAACTGTAACGGACTCCAGTGCAAGATTGAGAAGATATTGATAGCTACGCTCCAAAAGACCAACGTGAACAGCAACTCAACATTTTGAACTGGGCCGAATACAATGTGATCCGTAGAGATCGCGAGCGAGATAATAGTGGTGGTTTATGGGTCGATTATGGATGGCAACGCAACCGCAGCTGGGTTTCCGATGGGCAACGCCCCTGAAAGGAAAATCTATACTACGAATAACAAGTATAGTTAAGTTCTATAAAGTTGAAGGCATTAAAATTTTGAAGAACCAGCAATTAAGACTTGAGTGTAAATAAGCTGAAGAAACAGTTGAAAAAAGAAATAAATTACCGCAATCCAAATTTCCGCGGCAACCACAAAAATGCAGTTGCCAATATAGCAACTCAGTTGCCAGTTGCCATCTGTAATACCATTTCAGCCACTGTCCACCCAACTGAAGTTCGGTTTCAATCCCGACCTATTAGCTATCATCCAGCACCACACCGTGCATTGTAGTCTTATCGCAGCAGACAGCGACCTCAAGGAAACCATCATAAAGTTTCAGTATTTTTCTCTCCGGTCCGGTGAAAATTTGTAACGAATGATAGAAGGGGTACACACTTCGATGTACTATTCGGCATTCTGCACAATGAACGACGACGCACCCATTAGGATTATGGGTAGCTGCAGCAGCTCGTCTGGTGTAACAACAGTAAGAGCTGGCCTGATAAACAGTAGAACGTGGCGACCTACGCTGACGCTTGCATTGGACCATCTGCAAATAATCATCTCGATCGATAAACCTGCTGATTGGAGCGGCTTCGCCGAAATTGCTGAGCTATTTAGACGACATCCTTTGTGATGTCTAATTTAACGCGTAAAAAGGGTACCAACTGGCAACGCTAAGGGCATACCGGTCTATGTGCGCCTCAATGCCGGCCAGATTAATACCGTACCTTATCACTGTAGTCAACATGTTTTGCCGCCTCAAAGTGTTTCTGCAAATAACCTTCCATAAGGAAAAGCACTTCTATTAAAAAAATGATGTATTTTTAACAAAAATAGCGGATTTTTATAAGATAATTTTTTTAGAAACCTGGGAACTCCAAGAATTGAGCCGTCTAAGTCATCAAGATGGCGGACATAGCTGATGTATTCTATGAACCTTGGATACTACCAATATGCCTCAATATGCCTTGGGTATTATTATCATTTATTTGATGTTAGTGTCGACCGATCTCCTGGATCAGCGTGCAATGGATACAAGGGACGTGATTTAATTATTAAATAGTTCATAGACCATATACCCCAAAATTTCTTCTACACCAAAATTTTCTTTAACTAGAAAAATACTATTAAAGACTTTTTGGTTTGCTTGCGCTGCATCAACCGTTTTTTACCTCTCCTGAATATTTGGAATTTTTTTAGTTGACTATTTTTGATTGCGGTATGCAAATACAGTGACATTGGCTAATTTGGATATCTCATCTTTATCTTCAATATCAACGGAAAAACTGCTACTACATATCGCTTCCGGTGAGCAAATCTTATTTATGACGTAAATGACGGTTACGTGGTTTGCACTTTAAACGACGATATAAGTCTCCTTCGGGACGTTGAGTCGCGATACTCCATCCATCTTCATATTTTATATACCAAAGTAGAGGTTGTAGTAGTAGTATGTATTTATGTTGCCGAATCTAAATACATTTATTAAAAAGTAACACTGTAGGAAAAATACCAAGTTTTGAAATTATACAAAAAGCGCACGGTAGTAGGTTATGGGCCTGTTGATAGCTATCAAAAACTATCAGATTTTCCTGTTCGCGTACACAAAAATCCAGCAAAGTAGCGGAAATTGAGAGACGAAATTGACATTTCATTCTGATGAAATGCTGCTAGTTTCTGCTGGAAAAAATTTCGCCAGCAGCCATTTGCCAGCAATCAAAGTTTTTTTAGATTTAGATTTAGATTTATTATTATGATTTTTAAGTTTGAAATAACTTATTAGAACTGAAAATGTATCGGAAGAAAGGAAATACTCATTTACTCATGTTTGATTAGCAAATTGCTTTAGGAAAACTTTTAATTGATGTTCTTTTCATACATATTTTCTATTTTATGCTTTTGTATGTAAACAAAATTTCGATCAGCTGTACTTAAAACTTGCAAGTTTTTGCTAGTTTTGCGTTCGCGTACTTTTGCTAACATTTCTCTCTTTGAGAGAGAACAGATAAAAATTCATTGGAATTTTGCTGCTGAGATTTTTTTTTTTGCTGGAAGAATACGCGAATACACCCATGATGCAATAATGAAAGGTGTTGTACGTTGTGACAGCTCGAAATCGAACTACCTTAGGTCAATATTGTATTTTGGAAGTACAAGAAAAACGGGAAGAAAAAAAGCATAATAAAAATTATGCAGAACGAAAAATGACACTGAAGATGGCACAACGCCGAAACCGGTTTGTCTCCAAACCAAATTTGACAAGGGATGGCGGAAATTCGTTCCAAAATACATCATACACCCACCCTGTCGGAAACAACAACAACCAAAAAGGAAAGAAAAAAGCCTTTTAGTTGAAAAAGTACTAAGCATAAGCCTTCTCAACAACGTTCCGATTATCTGAATAGGTATATATATGGCTTGGTAGTCTCATAAAGTTGTAGATAATTAAAATAATAAAATTAGGCGTGTTTTTATTCACAGGAATATGATAATATGCTTAAAATTTTTGAGCTGATGAATACACAGCTAGAACAGTATGGCATATATAATTCCTTATATAAGTCGCATCACTAAGAAAATTATCCCTTATGAATTTGAAATGTTTCCCTTATATTGTACAGGCCAAATAGAGGAATTCATTTACGTGTGATATTTTGTCCCCCTCTTTCAAATGGGCTTCTTGTGCGCATATATCAGGTTTGATAGCTATTGACCATACCAATAATGCCTCATACTCAGTTTTACTAGATCAATTCGTGTTCTCGAGAAAAAAAATTTCACGATTCAAAAATCTGAGTATAGCGGCCAAATTCTTTTCTCGCAATTTTGAAAATTCTTCGTTTTTTGGCCTATATTTGCTTTGTATGGTATTTGCCACAAAATATAGACCAAAAACGATAAATGTTCAAAATTTGGAGAAAAAAGATTTTTCAGATTTTTGGATCGTGAAATATTTTTTTCTCGGTGAACACGAATTGATCTAGTAAATCGGAGTATGAGGCATTATTGGTATGGCCAACAGCTATTAAACCTGATATATTCGGACTAAGGTTTTTTTGTGTTCCACAGTGTTATATAAGTGATACTTTGAGGAATCATATAAACAATTATACATTACCCAAGTTCACGTACATCCAAGTTCGAGTCATACAGCAAGCTTTTTAATGTTTTATTTATTTGTTTTTGAAATAAACAATATATTTCAGAATTTATAATTAATACGTTGTGTTCATTTTAGTAAATCCACTTTCATTTTTAATTGTACAAAATTTATTATATACATACAGTATCGGTCATATCAATAGCAACCCCATTTCAAAGTGATATTATCATGTTAATTTATTTCTAAGAATTTGCAATAAAAATAAAGTTCAATTTCTAACAAAACCCATATAAACCCAATTTTAAAACTTCGTAGAAAACTACAAAAAATACAACAAATTTTCACCCAAAATTCACACTTTTTTCTCAGAAGTGTTACAGTTTTTTCGAGCACTCAGTTTTATAGCCCCTTCAATTTAAGTCTTATTATATGCAAGTTTGAAGTGGCTAAAAATTACCGTTGATTTTTTAGAATCGATATAAAAACAAATGGTGTTTAATCGTCTTCCATATACCGAAAAATGCGACTATCGAAAAACACTCGACATCAGACAACTTTTCAACGCCCTATTTCAAAATGTGGTTGGAAAACGCCCTACTTTAGAATTTGACTGAAAAATGCCCTATCTCAGAACTCGGTTCAAAAACACCCTATCTCAGCTGGCGATCCAAAAACGCCCTATCTCAGCACATTTTCAAAGTATTTTCATTTGAGATAGGACTTTTTTGAACCAAATAATAATAATAACATACTATATACCCACGATTGAGAGAGAATATTCTATCATTCTTGCTATATACCTACATATCTAGTTTCAACATAAAAAAAATTATGTACGCATAATTAATTGTCTATACATACATATGTATCTAAGTCAATATATGTGATATATATGTACATACATCTACATATCGTCGTTTAAAGTACAAAACCGTGTATCAATAAAATGCAAAACCGCGTATCAAGATAAAGCAAACCCAGCGAGGTCGCATAAATTATTTTCTAGAGAGTGAAAACACTCATATTTCAAAATGGTTATTTTTTTTTTTAAAAGCAATCGCATTTTTGGCTAGTATGTTTCAGGAAGAATGGATAAGGATTGAGCCAAGAACTTGTGTGAGCAAATCCAATTTTTAGCAGCAAATGTCAGTTACGCGGTTTTGTACTTAAACGACGATGTTTATATTAACAGGAACGCTGCAATCTAATACACGGGTGAAGCAGGTACGCAGCACAGCAGAAGCATAGAAACAATCTGCAAATGAATGGCTTTTTAGGTTTTTAACAAACAAAAACCTGGTTTCAACTTACTTCAACGTGTCTAAAGCACAACGCCCACACTAATGCAAAGGCGCAACAGGAACGCAACACTATAAAACACGGGCGGAGCAATACACGGGCGGAGGAACGCAGCACAGCAGAAGCGTCCACAAAATCTGCGAATAAATGGTTCATTAGGTTTTGAAATAACAAAGAGCTGGTTCCAACTTACTTCAAAATATCTGCAGGATGATGCACACAATCAAATTCGGCCGCAGCTGCAGTTCACCAGAGAATGCTGCAAATGGAATGGTTCATCAATGAAGTCAAAATAATATGTTGTAACTTACGTGTATTAGCTCTTAATTACAATACCAGCACAGGTCGGCCAGGAAAACACTAAGGAAATTACCTAATAAATGCAAAATTATAATTTATTTGTAAAATAATTCGGTTTTATTACAATACTTACCGAATTTCACGCAATTAGAAAACAAATGTCAGCGAATAAGAACAAAACGAACAACGAAAATTGAATCAATGTAGCTTGTTAAGAATTTTTTTCTAATATTTTGGGAAATGTTCAGTGAAATTAGCAAAGAAACAACACAGTTTCTCCTAAGGTAGTTCAAGATGGCGGATTAGAGCGAGAAGTTGCCGACGTATAACACCTTTCATTATTGCATCATGGAATACACCAATTTTCATTTGTATGAAAAAAATTCAAATATTGACAAGGAAAACATTATTTTATTCAACAAAGCTTTTTTATTTTCTTTTCATTTGTAACTTGTTCCTTTGCCAAAAAATCAAGCTACTAACCATAGTACAAATATTTAAAGGTAGTTTCACTTATCCGCCATTGCTCCAATTTGACGTAAACTATGCTTTCGACGTTTTCTTTTAAATTGAAGCTACCATATTCTTTGAAGAAACTAAAAAGTGGTTTTTTACTAAAAAAAAAAATTACTCCAAAATTATTTCAAGGAATATATCGAGGGCTTATTTTTCAATACCCTCTATCTGCAATTTTCACAAAAACAACTTTGTGGTGTTAGAACCCATCTGGGACTTACCTGTCATCACTGATGTTAATTCTGACTTTGCAATTTAAAAGTAAATTCTTCTGTCAAGCGTTATACAAGGTCAGCATTAACATCACTGATGATAGTTAAGTTTTAGGTGGATTTTTATATCAGAATCTCAGTTTTGTGAAAAATGCAAATAGAGGGTATTGAATATAAGCCCTCGATACATGGGCGTAGCCAGGTAGGGGCAGGTGGGCCCGTTTACTTCTTAAGTGTGACAAAACAAAATCAAGTAATATATTTAGCATAAATGAATATACCAGCATAAAAAATCTACATACTCAAAATGTTCAATACGTCCTCATATTTATACATACCTATGTATACGTGAAATACGTGAGTGCGAAGAGCTTGAAATGCTGGCCAACAGAAAAAACACCCGAAATTTTGAGCAGAGAGTTGAGCGACCTACGGAAGGTTTCAAGACTCCTGTAGGAACAACCATGGCGACCCATGGTGACCGATGTCCAGAACGTACTCAGAATATGGAGGGAACACTTTTCGACCCTTTTGAATGGCAGAAGCACTGCAAGAAGTGGAGAAGATGGAGTCGATATCCCAGCGCCTGACTATGACGAAAAGTGCCAAAGCTGCTTGAGCTGACGGCCTGTCAGCTGAGCTATTTAATTACGATGGCAAGAAGGTAATAAGGCGCATGCCCGACGACTGGAATTGCGCTCTGCCCAATCCACAAGAAAGGCGACCCCGCCATGCGTGCCAACTACCGCGGGATCAGCCTTCTAAGCATAGCTTGCAAGGTCTTATCGAATGTATTGGCTACCATAGACCAGGTATTCACAATACGCCAAATCTTGGAAAAGACCCGCGATCGGCACTCACCACCACCTATTTGTCGACTTTAAAGCCGCTTTCGACAGCACTAAAAGGAGTTTCCTATATGCCGCTATGTCTGAATTTGGCATCCCCTCAAAACTCATACGGCTGTGAAAAATGACGTTGAGCAATACCACCAGCTCTGCTCTGTTGCTGTTGGCCACCAGACGGGGTTTCAGACAGGGCGACTCTCTTTCATGTGACTTCTTTAATCTGATGTTGGAGAAGATAATAAGATCTTCAGAACTGAACCGCTCAGGAACAATTTACTACAAGAGTGTACAAATGCTGGCTTATGCGAAGTCTGTCCTGGCTTTTCCAAGTTGGGCAAGGAAGCAAAGCGAATGGGTAAACGAATGTGGTAAACGAGGACAAGACGAAGTATCTCCTGTCATCAAACAAACAATCAGCGCATTCGCGCCTTGGCACCCACGTCACTTTTGACAGTTATAATTTCGAGAAAGTAGAGAATTTCGTTTACTTAGGAACCAGTTTTAACACCGATAATAATGTCAGCATGGAAATCCAACGCAGAATCGCTCTTGCCAATAAGTACTGCTTTGGACTGAGTAGGCAATTCAGGAGTAAAGTCCTCTCTCGACGTACGAAAACCACACTATAAGTCACTCATCATGCCCGTGCTGGTATATGGCGAATTAAAATATAGCGGCTCAACTGGCTTGACCATGTCGTTCGAATGGACACCGACGCCCCAGCTCTGAAAGTATTCTGGCTTCACTTGGCATTTCCAATTGGCGTCAGTTGGCCAAAATCGCTTTGGCGGTTTCAGCGCCAAATAAGAAGAAGAAGAAGAGAATAGATCTATAACCTTATCAGTCACACAGTGTTATAATCCCGACGAAATCCTTAACGGTGGTATCGGGAGGGGAACGGTACATGACGGTAGGAAGTTTAGTTTGGGTTAAAGTCGCACACTGACGAGGTTAGGCTTTCGATGCTTCCTCCTCGTAAAATAAACATGCTCAGTAAAAAGTTAACAATTTAAATCGACGAATAGTTTTATATCAACTTTTGTGAACTTCTGTTTATTTGTTTTTTGTACAACATATTTACCTCAATTGGTTACAATAATTTTAAGCTATAATAAACAATCTTTTAGTAAGTAAGTTATTGGTTTTGATTTTTTTTTGTGTTGTTATTTTTTAATGCACAAAAAATTCCTTTACAAAATAATAAAATTTCCAAAACAATAATTTGTTGAGGTGGCAATGATACTCGATCAATTTACGAAAAGTTAAAACGTCATAAGCACAGTTTATGTCTAAAAATTTTTTGTATCATGCTACTAACGATGAAAATCGGTGGATAAATAAAAAAAACTTTTGAGTGGTCAAATGAAAATGTGTAATAATTTATTTTATGAAATAGAAGCAGGAAATAATGTTGCTCATACGCCGTATAGTACATGCCCATACTCGTACATAATAAAACATGGCGTATGAGTAACATTTTCCACGTAAAAGCGCCTTGATGTTGTCACACAAAGGTGAGGGCCTTACAGTTTTACGCTGACTCTCAACGGCGATTGTATTTCTGTGCGAAACAGCGGCCGCCATTAAATAGATTTTATTTTACAAATTTCGTTAGAAGCATTACCGCCATTACCATCAACTGTAAATACTTTTATTAATCCGGCTTCGTTTGCATGTATGTATAAAGTTTCCAGGATATTGCATACATTGAATAATATTTGCAGATGAAAGTGCAAAATGTGCATTTATTTCTTTATTATTATTATTTTTCTAGTGTTTATTGTGTGTAAATGTGAATGGATAGATTCACTTACGTACAAAGCAACATATGTATGTATGTATGTACACAGGTATGTAACTATATATTTGGTTAACTATATCAATGTACATACATATGTTATGAAAGTGTAGCTTATACTACAAACATATACATATATGACGCTTGAGGCGCTTAAGTGTGGACTAAATTCAAATACATAAATATAACAAACAAAAGCAAAACTGCAAACAATTTGCATAAAACGAGAATGACTAAGCAAAAAGTTACAAAGTTTTATGAACATATGTTTGTACGTATATTTACTTATGTATGTATGTATGTATGCTACATATGTACGTAAAGTCAAACTTAAAAATAACTGCAGTTAACATCGAGCAGTAAGCGTGTGTAACGAGATTAATTATGTACACATCTGTACAGAGTAAAAAAAAAAAAACAATAACAATATTCTTTGCTTTAGAGAGTTTGTATAGCAAAACAAAGCGCAGCAACGATGTTTGTAATGCAAGTGAAAACAAGAAAACAATATGAATAAATAATTTCAGTGTGTAAAAATTCGTGCGAATCGTGAATTAGCCGAAGGCTATTGTTAACTATATTAAATCAAATTTATTGTTTACGTTTTCTACATAACATCCATATGATGTCGGACGTGACATTCGTACTACTTTCGAGTTAAATAAAGCAGGCACCGTAACCGGTATAATTTTTATAAAAAAAAATCATAATTTAAGCGTTATTTTGTGGTTTTTAACCGACTTCCAAAAAAGGAGGAGGTTATCAGTTCGTCGGAATATTTTTTTTTTTTTTTTTTTATGTATGTTACCGCATAACTTTGGACCACGTCAACCGATTTCGATTTTTGCATCGGAAAGGTAGTGTCTCAGAGGTGGTCCCATACTAATCTGGTTGAGATCCGATCAGTGGATCATGAGATATATATATATAAATATATATATATATTTTTTTTATATGGGAGTTGAAGTCGGTTTTTTTTTGCTAAAAATTACTTGTTATTTTTATGAATCATTTTTAATCGCTATTTTATGATTTATACTTTTTCGATAATTTTTAATTGTTATTTTTTTCGATCAAATATAACAGTTACTCTTAGCTTTTTTAAGGTGCAAATCAAATCAGCACAGATTTCACTTAAAAACAATTTGTACACTGAGGGAACAAAATTTTAGAATTAAAAAAAAAACGTGCTAAATTTAAAAAAATACACATATGAAAAAGCACCAACCCAACTCGTTTTAAGTTTGAGTATGTACGGTTTAAAATACGTCGTTGTGAAGTGCACAGATGCTTTTTCGTTATAAGAAATTATAATTAAGAAAAAAAAAATTTTTACTTTATGTTCCCGTCTGATGATAATTGAATCCGGACCCTCTTGGCAGCAACCAATTGTATCAAGCGTCTTGGCACACTCATCTACAGCCATACATTTAAATGTGTTTTCAAATGTTGTGTTTGAATTAACATCACAGCGCGCGATTAGTGAATTATACCCTATTTGAATTATACCAACATTTGGAGTCATATATGAGTTTTTAAGGAGTCCTATTTCGGAGCCATTACGCTCATTGTGAGCTCATTTATGAGTCCGATATGAGGGTGTTTCCCTTCCTCCGAAAGTCGACTTATATGCGCTTAAATTCATACATCAAATGAGCCTCAATATGAGTCTTATTGGACTCTTATTGGCCTCATATACGGCTCATTTTGGACTCTTTTAAAACAATTTTTTGGCCTCATATTTGAATCATTTCAGACTCTTTTTGAGGCTCTTATCGGCCTCATAAATTACTACAATCGGACTCTTATTTTAGGCTGTTGTTTGAGTCTTATTGAACGCACTATATTTGCAAAGGCATTCAGCAAAAATTCCTTTCAAATAACATACAATCTGCAGCTAAATTTTGTTAA